TTATTATACCCAGACATTTTGAGTATATGCTCACTGACAGAACTGTTCTCCTCCATCTTGCAGCTATAGAACTTATTGGAGACTTCATATCTCTCAATCCGGACATTTGCTTGAAATATTAACTTCAACTCTTGGAACATCTCATATGCTCCATGACGTTCAAAACGTCGTTGAAGTCCCGATTCTAAGCCGTAAATCATGGCACACTGAACTATCGAGTAGTCATCAGCTTTGCTCTGCCAGACGTTCATAACATCTGGTGTTGCTCCAGCAGCAGGCCTGGCACCCAGCGGTGCTTCCAGGACGTAATTCTTCTGTGCAGCAATGAGGATAATCCTCAAGTTACGGACCCAGTCCGTGTAATTGCTACCATCATCTTTCAACTTTGCTTTCTCAAGGAATGCATTAAAATTCAACGGAACAACAGCACGAGCCATCTATCTACAATCAAGCATAAACAAGCAATATATTATCAGGCACTAAGTTTCATGATAAATTTAGGTTCAATTAATTTACTTAAAGAACTCCCACTTAGATAGACATCCCTCTAATCCTCTAAGTGATTACGTGATCCAAATCAACTAAACCATGTCCGATCATCACGTGAGATGGAGTAGTTTCATTCGTGAACATCACTATGTTGATCATATTTACTATATGATTCACGCTCGACCTTTCAGTCTCCGTGTTCCGAGGCCATATCTGTATATGCTTGGCTCGTCAAGTATAACCTGAGTATTCCGCGTGTGCAACTGTTTTGCACCCATTGTATTTGAACGTAGAGCCTATCACACCCGATCATCACGTGGTGTCTCAGCACGAAGAACTTTCGCAATGGTGCATACTCAGGGAGAACACTTCTTGATAATTAGTGAGAGATCATCTTATAATGCTACCATCAATCAAAGCAAGATAAGATGCATAAAAGATAAACATCACATGCAATCAATATAAGTGATATGATATGGCCACCATCATCTTGTGCTTGTGATCTCCATCTTCGAAGCACCGTCATGATCACCATCGTCACCGGCGCAACACCTTGATCTCCATCGTAGCATCGTTGTCGTCTCGCCAATCTTATGCTTCCACGACTATCGCTACCGCTTAGTGATAAAGTAAAGCATTACAGCGCGGTTGCATTGCATACAATAAAGCGACAACCATATGGCTCCTGCCAGTTGCCGATAACTCGGTTACAAAACATGATCATCTCATACAATAAAATTTAGCATCATGTCTTGACCATATCACATCATAACATGCCCTGTAAAAACGAGTTAGACGTCCTCTACTTTGTTGTTGCAAGTTTTACGTGGCTGCTACGGGCTTAAGCAAGAACCAATCTTACTTACGCATCAAAACCACAACGATAGTTTGTCAAGTTGGTGCTGTTTTAACCTTCGCAAGGACCGGGCGTAGCCACACTCGGTTCAACTAAAGTTGGAGAAACTGTCACCCGCTAGCCACCTTTGTGCAAAGCACGTCGGGAGAACCGGTCTCGCGTAAGCGTACGCGTAATGTCGGTCCGGGCCGCTTCATCCAACAATACCGCCGAACCAAAGTATGACATGCTGGTAAGCAGTATGACTTATATCGCGCACAACTCACTTGTGTTCTACTCGTGCATATAACATCAACATATAAAACCTAGGCTCGGATGCCACTGTTGGGGAACGTAGTAATTTCAAAAAAATTCCTATGCACACGCAAGATCATAGTGATGCATAGCAACGAGAGGGGAGAGTGTGATCTACGTACCCTTGTAGATCGACAACGGAAGCGTTTGGTTGATGTAGTCGTACGTCTCCACGGTCCGACGATCAAGCACCGAAACTACAGCACCTCCGAGTTCTAGCACACATTCAGCTCGATGACGATCCCCGGGCTCCGATCCAGCAAAGCGCCGGGGAAGAGTTCCGTCAGCACGACGGCGTGGTGACGATCTTGATGTACTACCGTCGCAGGGCTTCGCCTAAGCACCGCTACAATATGACCGAGGTGAAATATGGTGGAGGGGGGCACCGCACACGGCTAAGGAACGATCACGAAGATCAACTTGTGTCTCTAGGGGTGCCCCTGCCCCCGTATATAAAGGAGCAAGGGGAGGAGGCCGACCGGCCCCTATAGGCGCGCCAGGAGGAGTCCTCCTCCTAGGAGGGGGAAAGAAGTGGGGAGGGAGAGGGAAAGGGGGGCGCCGCCCCCCCTCTCCTAGTCCAATTCGGACCAGGGGGAGGAGGCGCGCGGCCCACCTCTCGCAGCCCCTCTCTCTCTCCACTAAGGCCCATATGGCCCATTACTTCTCCCGGGGGGTTTTCGGTAACCCTCCAGCTCTCCGGTTTTCTCCGAAATCACCCGGAACACTTCCGGTGTCCGAATATAGCCGTCCAATATATCAATCTTTATGTCTCGACCATTTCGAGACTCCTCGTCATGTCCGTGATCACATCCGGGACTCCGAACTAACTTCGGTACATCAAAACTCATAAACTCATAATATAACTGTCATCGAAACCTTAAGCGTGCGGACCCTACGGGTTCGAGAACAATGTAGACATGACCGAGACACGTCTCCGGTCAATAACCAATAGCAGAACCTGGATGCTCATATTGGCTCCTACATATTCTACGAAGATCTTTATCGGTCAGACCGCATAACAACATACGTTGTTCCCTTTGTCATTGGTATGTTACTTGCCCGAGATTCGGTCGTCGGTATCTCAATACCTAGTTCAATCTCGTTACCGGCAAGTCTCTTTACTCGTTTCGTAATACATCATCTCGCAACTAACTCATTAGTTGCAATGCTTGCAAGGCTTATGTGATGTGCATTACCGAGAGGGCCCAGAGATACCTCTCCGACAATCGGAGTGACAAATCCTAATCTCGAAATACACCAACCCAACATGTACCTTTGGAGACACCTGTAGAGCACCTTTATAATCACCCATTTACGTTGTGACATTTGGTAGCACACAAAGTGTTCCTCCGGCAAACGGGAGTTGCATAATCTCATAGTCATAGGAACATGTATAAGTCATGAAGAAAGCAATAGCAACATACTAAATGATCGGGTGCTAAGCTAATGGAATGGGTCATGTCAATCAGATTATTCACCTAATGATGTGATCTCGTCAATCAAATAACAACTCCTTGTTCATGGTTAGGAAACATAACCATCTTTGATTAACGAGCTAGTCAAATAGAGGCATACTAGTGACACTCTGTTTTCTATGTATTCACACATGTATTATGTTTCCGGTTAATACAGTTCTAGCATGAATAATAAACATTTATCATGATATAAGGAAATAAATAATAACTTTATTATTGCCTCTAGGGCATATTTCCTTCAGTTTCCTCCCAATCTATCTTTGATATGCTTCACCACCGTTTGACAATCAGATGCAATCACCAAAATTTGGAGCTAGATCTTCCACAAGAGATAAACCTTCCCTCCATGCAATAGCTTCAAGTGTAGGCGGATCTGTCAACCTTCAAATGACATACACAGAAGATCCAAGGTATCCTCCATTGTTGTTCCTGCACACAGCTGCAACTGCACCAACTCCACATGAAACAGAGGCGTTGACATTGATCTTGGTGTACCCTACAATAGCCAGAATCCATCTCCTCGGGGCTGCAATCACCGGATTAATCACCTGGTTCTGTGTTTGCTGCTGACCCTCTTCCAACTCTGAGATGAAATGGGTAATGAACATATATGTCGACGGAGGGCTTTGATTTATTCCTTCGTGAATCAGCTCCCGTCTCGCCCGCCATATGGCCCAAAGGGTGACTGCTACCTTGATAAACTTCTCATGGGAAAGTTGCCCAATCACAGTAAATAACCACCTCTTTGCATTCTGTTCGGTATTGATCATTAATTCATCAATTAGCTCCTGGTCAACCAATGACCAAACACATCGAGCAGTCGTACACTCCATCAGGCTATGCTTCCATAAGTCCAGAGTTCCACAGATAGCACATGTGCAACTCGTAGCCATATTCCCATGCATTCTGACATCTTTCGTTTGTATAGATTGATGCGCAAGTCTCCACAAGAAAACTCTAATCTTTGCCGAAACATAAGTTTTCCATAAGTGAACCCAGCCCGACTCCTCTTCTTTGCGGTAAGAGACTCCCGGACGAGATTCCAGCCAGTCCTTGCGCCGTTTCTTGGTTTCAACTATCATACGATAAACATGATCTGACACTGAAAATGCCCGATTTCTCAAACATCCAAGACCAGTAGTCCTGCACATTCCTTACACAAATCGGGATCTAAAAGATTGCCTGTGCATCGAACGGCAGAAACACCTGCTATACTAGCTCCATATTCCATCGTGCATTACCTGAATCAATTAGTTCAACAACTAGTTGAGGTGAGTTTGCCACTCTAGACACGAGTGGCCTCATTAGCTCTGTTCTAGGGATCCAGTTATTGCTCCATTTCGCCATCGAAGTCCCATCACCTACTTCCTCCGTTCCGAATTACTTGTCTTGGATACCTCCGTATCTAGACAAATCTAAGACAAGTAATTCAGAACGGAGCGAGTATTTGCTTGACCAGACCCTGCTTCATAATGTCCTTTAACGGGCGTTTAAAGCGCTGAATAGGAGTTAACGGCTGGCCCATCCCGCGTAGGCCTAGCAGCCCAGCAGGCCACCAACAGCCCACCGGCCTCTCTCGGCCCACACAACCGGAGCAAGCCAGCGCAGCGCGCAGGCGCACCTGGACACACAAACCGCTTCCCCCAATCTAAACCTAGCCGCCACACTTCCTAAAAAAAAGCCCTAGCCGCCGGCCCGCCACACCCCACCCGCGCGACCTGCTGCCGGCCGCCGTCTTCCCCCCTCGACGCCGCGGCCCACCCAACCGTTGGACCGGAATATTCCGCCTCCCGCGAGGGACGCGCCCCCTTGCCCCGCCGCACCACGCTAGCTAGGGTTCGCTCCCTCTCCCCCTCCCCGCCTCCGCGCCGCCGACGCCGACGGCGATGGCGCAGCGCTGGCGCTCGAAGGCGCGGCGCGACCCGGACCTGGACGACGCCGGCTCGCCCTCTCCCGCGCGGCCCCGCGCGCCCCCCAGCGACGACGAGGACGAGGCGGGCAACGAGGACCTCACCCTCGAGATCGTCGCGCGGGCGCGGCGGCGCGGGGCCGCGGGAGGCCAGCCCGGGCTCGCCGAGGTGCTCCCCCTGTCCTCCGACGAGGAGGTGGACGAGGACGCCGTGGTGGAGCTCGGCGAGGCCGACCCCAGCAGGAGGAAGGACAAGAAGAAGAAGCAGCGCCGCAAGGAGAGGAGGAAGAAGCAGCGCAAGGAGGACGCCGCCGCCGCCGCCGCCGCCGACAAGGAGGAGGTAATTGCTCCTGGCCCACGCTCAGCTCATGATTACGCACTACTATTTTACGTGTTTACTTTTGCAATCGAAGAATCGAACGCACACAGGATTTTTATAGAGGCTTCAGTAGCAATGTCGTGTAGAATCACCTTGGATTGGAAGCTTTGTATGTGGTTCAACTGCCTCAAGTGTGAGCGCACTGGAAGCTTGCCTTTTCAACGTTTGGATCTAGGGGAGCATTCTTCTTTGCTTGCTGCCTTATTGCTACGATCGTTTGGTTAACTGTGCTTTACCAGGAGTCAATGGTCGGTACTACTATCAATTTCCTTCTTTGGAAACGGTATAAAAGGCAGTATGCTGTTCTTTCCTACACAGAAGGCACATACTTTTGGTCTCATACAAATCAAAGTGATACAGTGTTTTTCTTTTTATCCGTTAACAGTAAGTAAAACATGTGCACGCTAAAACATTCGTGAACTGAATAGTGTATTGAAAACCTTGGCTTGTGTAGAACAGCTGATTTTATCTTATTAGTGGATCGACATCTGTGTTTGATGTTCCTTTGTTGGGAACAATATGATAGTCTTCCTGGAGCTGTAGTTGATGAATGTATTTGTCTCTTTCAGCCTCAGGTTGCTGGCGCCCAGGAGGGACAAACTGGGACAGTGGAATCAGTGCCCACCGAAAATGGCGTTGATGCCCCTGTATCCGACAACACAGTTCTGCGGAAGCTTCTTGTAAGTGCCAAGTGAATTTTTCCTTGCAGTGAATTTCCCTGTACATGGGTAACTGTGGTAAGCTGATAGTTATGTTGCTTCTGCTTATGGCCAGCGTATACCAAGATACTTTGATCCTGGGGAAACTATATTGGAGACTTGCTTTAACTGTGGTGAGGAAGGTCATGTAGCTGTGAACTGCCCAATGGAGAAGCGGAAGAAGCCTTGCTTCGTTTGTGGATTGTTCGGACACAATGCGAAGCAGTGCACGCAGGTTGGTCTCTCTAGCTCGGACGAATTATCGCTCCGTGACTTGGGTATGTCCACTCATACCCTTGATGAGCTCACTGTATATGGTTTCCTTTGGCAGAGGTTGTTTCCTTGCTTTTTATGTAGCTGTCTCATTTAGGGTGCAATCATCTCATTTAGGTTTCCACCATGTAATTGTTAAGACCTTGATTAACTTTGTCATTCAATATAATTTAGTCGACAAATTGTAGGACACTTGATCGTACCCATTTTCAACATTAGATATAAAAAGCCAAAAACATTGGCAGAATGTGTTCTGTTCAAATCCACTCTCCAGTTAATCCTAATTTAAACAACAACTCATTTCTACCCATCATGCAAGTTCGTATTTTGCATTTTTGCTCCAAGTAGTTTGCGCTTTCCAGATCTATTCGTTCACTGTTCATGTCTTGTACTCGTAATACTATTTGAATGGGAGTGATATCCGTGTTTTATGACTGTGATTTCTTTGGAGAGATCTTCCTTTGAGACTGATCATGCATGCATGCATATTCATAACTTATGATCTCATTTTGGTTAAATCTGAATACTTGCAAATTTTTTTTGGCATGCAGATATTCCAGTAGTCTTGTCTGTATTGTTTGTATTGTCTGTGCTTGGGGGTTGCACGTGTAGATTATTTTGGGCTCACATGCTAAATAGCGTTGATCTACAAATGCTTCTTGCCAGTGGTTGTCATTGCCAGTAATCAAATATCTCTTAATTCTTTTTGTAGGGTCAAGAGTGTTTCATCTGCAAAAAAGGAGGTCATATGGCGAAAGATTGCCCTGATAAGCACACAAAGAATACTCAGCAGTACACCACATTGTGTTTGAGATGCGGAGAAACCGGCCACGATATGTTTGGATGTTCCAATGATTATCCACCAGATGATGTCAAGGTGAGTTCTCTTTGGCCGTTATTGTCTTCTCCAAGTTTTCGTCTTGCTGCCGCAGATGAGGTGTTCGTATGTTGGTTACTTGCCTCTTTATAGCTACAAAAGAAACAAAGTGCTGCTCTGTTTTGGTTTCTGAATAAGGTTATGACAGCCTGAAAGATACACTTTTCCCAAAACTTTTATCTGAAGAAAAAGTCTTATAAGTGTATTGTGCCATGAGCTTGTTGATTATATTGGTAGGATACACTTGTTAATCCTGTTTACTGTGTGGGCTCATAAATTATGTTAAATTTGATGAATCAGGTCGTTTTTCTGGTAGGCTTTTCCTACCATTTTCTATACTAATCCAGTTCCTGGATCTGCATATATAAGTTTTTTCCACTTAGTAATACGCAATACAATATAAATTATTTGCTGAAGTCTAGTCATGAAATTGCAAATTTGCTTTCTCCCTCACCATCCATCTTGCTGGACAATGCAGGAAATAAAATGCTATGTGTGTAACCAGAATGGTCACCTCTGTTGCACCGACTTCTCTGATAGTTGTTCAAAAGAAGTTACTTGTTATAACTGTGCCCAATCTGGTCATACTGGTTTGGTAAGTTTTAATTTTTCTATCCTTCTGTGTCTATCTGTTACTTTTCAAGCCAGTTGACTAGTAACCAACATTTGGTCATAGGGATGTGCCAAGCAACGTAGGGAGACAAGTGTTGCGACAACTCCGACCTTGTGCTACAAATGTGGCGAAGATGGTCACTTCGCACGTGGCTGCACAAATAGTGCTAAGGTAAGCATCTCATGATTTCCTCTGCTGATAAAGAATGGCTTGGGTATTTATCTTGTGTACTTTATTATTTTTGCAGCCCGGCCGGTTCAAAGGCGAGTTGTCGTCGCATAGTCGTAGAAAGGACAAATGGAAAAATGACTCTGGCCCTAGATCAGCTCCTCATGGATCTCACAAAAGAAAAAGCCCCCTATTCGAGGATAGATGGGAGACACCTCGTGGTAAATCCAGAGCTAGGGGTGGTTGGATTCCTGAGGACCATGACGATCTTCCATCCAAGAAGTACAAAGGAATTGGGTGGGACTCCCAATCTACTCCTAAGAAGCCCTACAATAATCACCACCATCGCTCCTCTGGCGGTGACTATTCTACTCCTCAAGGACAAGATTTTTCATGGCACAACTCGCAATATTCTCCAAGTGCGAGAAAACACGGCTCGTCTTCGTCAAGATTCGCCAGCAACACCCATCACCGCTTTGAAAGAAGTTAGGCTGGAGCTTACTTTTGGTTTTGTTGTTCGTTCCATAGTAGATCTCTTAGGGATGTACTCTGCCTGTAATACCGTTTCCCTGAAAGGGCTGTTTTCTGTATCTTCAGAGTTGTATACGTTGTGTCCATTCCTGGTCTGGGCATGCTTTGTGTTGCACTTCAATGGCTGCCTACTGCAAACACGGCATGTCACTCTGCACTCTGCACTCTGCGCCGCTATACAGCGTAAGTTTCTGTGTACTTATACAAGAGCGATATATTATTTCACAGCCCAATGGTTTCTGCCACTATCAGGTCATTTTTGAAGTATTCTATGAAGTCGAGCAACTACCATGGTACTGCGTACGATGCGAGTTGAAATATAAGAGCATCTCCAACAGGTGTGCAACCGCGCTAAAACTGTTTTACAGTGTCGAAATAGCACTTTTTTGTGTACATTAGGGTGCTGGCTTCAATGGCCGCCGCAAAAGATGGCGCGCATGAGTAGCTCCAGCAGACGCGCTAATTTACAGAGCGCACGAGCAGCCGGTGCTTGTAAATATGATTTTTTACATGTCCATTTGATAATATGAGATGTTTCAGAAATTAACAAATGTGAATAAAGACACAACATAGTTCAATATCTGGTCGAACCGACCCAGGCTAACTTCCATCCGGACTCTCTCTTTTTCCTTGTTTTAAACTTTTAAACTATAAACAAAGCTTATCTAATTAACTAACCGGCAAGAGTTCTGAAAGTCGCGCGTGGCTAAAGGAAGTTCAAGTTCTTATTGAGAACCTAATGGACCAGGAGGAGATGTACTGGATCCAGAGAGGAAGGATGAATTGGCTACTGCATGGAGACAGAAATACGGCCTTTTTTCATAGAGCTGCTACGGCAAGAAAGAAGCGTAATCAAATAAAAAAAAATTAATGGACGACAATGGTGTATGGCGAGAAGGAACAGACGAGTTGAATGGTCTAATACTTGAATATTTTTCTAACTTGTTTAGTTCTGAAGTGGTTGATGCAGACTCTCAAGTTCTCTTTAAGGTGCAGCGCAGGGTTACCAATGAGATGAATGTCACGCTGACAGCACCCTTCTCGAGCGAGGAAGTTCGTAAAGCTCTCTTTGATATAGGGGACTTCAAAGCCTCAGGGCCAGATGGACTCCATTCTATCTTTTGTAAAAGATTCTGGCCGATGCTTGGTGATGATCTAGTGGAGGAGGTGTTACAAGCCATTAGTACATGCACAATACCTTCAGGTTGGAATGATACTGTTATAGTCATGATCCCTAAAACAAATTCCCCAGAGAAGGTCACACAATTTCGTCCGATCAGTTTATGTAATGTTGTGTATAAGGTCATCTCAAAAATGATTGCGGCTCGGTTGAAACCATTACTTCCAGAAATTATATCTCCTACTCAAAGTGCTTTTGTCCCTGATAGGCTTATAACTGACAATGTTCTCATTGTCTATGAGAGTCTCCACACAATAAAGAATAAAAAGAGGGGAAAGGATGGATGGTGTGCGGTGAAACTTGACATGCACAAGGCATATGATCGTGTTGAATGGGTCTTTCTGGAAGCTATTTTATTGAAGCTAGGCTTTGATGTAAGTTGGGTGAAGCTGATAATGCAATGTGTGTCTTCAGTGCAATATAGTGTACGGTTTAACTCGGAGGAGACTGAATGTTTTAAGCCATCAAGGGGCCTTAGGCAGGGGGACCCCCTCTCCCCCTACCTGTTCTTATTATGCACTGAAGGTTTGACAGCCCTGTTAACACATGCTGAAGCAACAGGAGCACTGGAAGGAGTTAAAGTATGTTGTGATGCTCTTGCTGTGACAAACCTCCTATTTGCAGATGACTCACTTATCCTTATGAAGGCTAATAACCAGAATGCTAATACTTTAAAGGCTATACTTGACGCATATTGCTCGGCATCTGGACAGAAAGTAAGTGTGGAAAAATCTAATATTTTCTTCAGTCCAAGTACCCCGGTTGAAAGTAGAGCACAAATCTGTGTTACTTATGACTGAAACGATCAATGACAAATATTTGGGGCTCCCCGCAATAGTGGGACTTGATAGGAGTGACAAGTTCAACTATCTGATTGATAGAATTGTGGAGAGACTGATGGGATGGAAAGAGAAAATTTTATCGTCGGGAGGGAAAGAGGTACTTCTCAAATCGGTTGCTCAGGCAATACCATCATATGCAATGTCCGTCTTTAAAATCCCTAAAAAAATATGTAAGGGAATAACAGACGCGATGGCGCAATTCGGTGGGGTGACGACGCCAACCACAAGAGAATGCACTGGTTCGTCTGGTGGAAAATGTGTGTTCCCAAGAAAGAAGGTGGAATGGAATTTAGGGACATCCATTGCTTTAATCTAGCGCTACTAGCAAAACAAGCATGGCGTTTATTGGATGCACCGGAGTCATTATGTGCAACAATTCTTCGAGCCAAATATTACCCTAATGGGGATCTGTTAAATGCTACTCTAAAGAAGAAGGCCTCCTATACTTGGCAAAGTATAATGGAGGGTGTCAAAACACTCAAACTTGGGCATATTTGGCGTATCGGAGACGGACAGAAGGTAAATATGTGGACTGATGCTTGGATCCCTCAGTCTCCTTCAAGGCCGCCCATTACTGTGAGAGGTAATCAGTTACTAACTAAAGTCTCAGATCTAATTGACCCAACAACGGGACAATGGGATGTACAACTGATTAAGCAAACTTTTTGGCCGGCGGACACTGAGAGGATCCTGAATATTCCTCTCCCATCTTTTGACATGCCTGATTTCTTGGCATGGCATCCCTCCAAGCATGATATCTTCTCGGTGAAATCGGCTTACCTAGAGGTGTGGAAAAACTGTTATGAAAGTAAAGTGGAAAGAGGAAACAGTCCAAGTGCTGCAGCTTCAAACCCGATATGGGATTTCATTTGGAAACTTCCATGTCCAGCTAAGATAAAGATCTTTCTCTGGAGAACTCTACACGGCATGCTTCCTTGCCGTGTAAACTTAGCAGATCGGCATATGAAACTATCCACGAAGTGTCCTGCTTGCGAAGAAGCTGAAAGTGTTAAGCACATGCTCTTTTTATGCCCAAAAGCAAAGCAAGTATGGTATATGCTGGGTCTCCAGGAGGTGATTGAGCGGGGATGCGCTGTCGACCGAGCAGGAGAAGCTGTTCTTGAATATTTGTTATCTGTTCCTGCAAATAAGACAATGGTTCTAGGGCAAGGAAAAGGACCTTTGATCATTGCTATCGCATGCTGGTTCTTGTGGTGGGAAAGGAGGAAGCTGGTTCATGGGGAGCATACTCAACAACCAAACCAAATTGTTCTATCTATCCGTGCCCTTGCTGAGAACTTCTCGGCGGTTGCTACTAGTTCTGCAAAAGAAAAGAGAAACCCATGGCAGAGACCGCCAACAGGATATGTCAAACTAAACGTCGATGCCTCGTTTGATGTTGATTCACTTCAAGGAACCGTGGGTGCCGTTTTGCGTGATTGTAAGGGGCTGTTCTTGGCAGCAAGTAACAATGTAGCTGGGGCCTGTACAGATGTGTTCATGGCAGAAGCTCTAGCACTCCGGTTTGGTTTAAATCTGGCAACATCGGTTGGCTGTTCAAAGGTGATTGTTAACTCCGACAGTTCAGACGTAATTTTGGCTATGCAGGATGGGGGGAATACGTCAGGCTCCTCTGCTGCAATTTTGGATGATTGTTTCCACATGGCAAAGGATTTCACATGCGTGCGTTATGAGCATTGCCATAGGGAAGCTAATGTTGTGGCTGATGAGCTAGCTAGAATCTGTAAATTTTCTTTCCCTAGTTCCTGGTTTGATGAGGCACCGGATGCCATCATGCCCTTGCTTGTAAAAGACAATGTTTTAATTACTAGCTAATAAAAAGGGGTGTTGAGTTTCAGAAAAAAAAAACTAACCGGCAAGATTGATCACGTAAGAACCTGGACTCAAAGAAGAGATAACGAAACTAGTACTACTGGATAAAAGAAAAACTTGACTCTCACGTTGTCACACAAGAACTTGGAGCGGAATTCTTTCCAACGAAAAACCAACTGCATGGTGGTGTTCTAAACGTTGGCTTGATCGCTTCTTCCTCGGGTTCGATTGCTGATGGAAACTTCACGAAAATAGATCCAATATAAAACACATGTTCACTGACCGCCTGTGTTTGCACGTCTGGTACTTTGGTCATATTCTTCTTCCCCGGAAACAACTTGCATTTTTCTGAAACTTGTTGCATCAAATTCCAGCGGGCTAAGTTTCTGTCCTTTTGTGTAGAACATGAAATAGCCTGAAATATTTTTGAACGCGAAACAATAGTTTCGGCACCAGTGATCACATCAAGTGCCATACCAACATCCATTTTTCTTTTCTGACGAAACCAGCATCCACTTCTTACCTGAAGAACAGGAAGAGATGAACAAGAACAATAGGGGATCGGCGGCCCGCTGTGGCTAGACCACGAGTCAAACAGGAACTCCAAGACAAGCAGCCGCTGCTCCATTGAGCCATGACGAGGGCGGTCCTCGTCCAGGGCGCTGGAGAATGGGGGATCGATGGAGGAGGAATTACGTAGGTGGGGTGGCCATGGAGACACACAAGGAAAGAGAAGAACTACAGAACAGAGGAGGACGAGACTCATCTGGCGGCCATGGCGGCGAACAGGGGAGAAGGAAGAGGGGAACTAGGGATTGCGTACCGGATTGGGGATTGAGTAAAACTTCACGCGCGTCCTCATATCGCTTCGCGCCTTCCACCAAGCCGACGTGGCAATGGTCCAGAGCCACGCAAGCAAAACCACCGGCAAAAACCACTCTAAGGCTGGTCATAGTGGAGAGTAACTTATACGGAGTACTAGTGTCATGCATATGACACTAGTCTAAGTTACTATCTTCATAGTGCAAAGTAACATACTAGTAGTGTCATATGTAGCTTCATTTAATGGCTTGTAGACTCATCTTGTGTTGGGAAGCGCTATGT